GACCTAAATGCAACAAAGCCCCACTGCACCAAAGCCTCAACCGACAGGTTGCATCATCATTCCCGGCCGCCGGCTCGAATGTCTTAAGCGAAAAAAAAGTAAACGGGAGGGATCCGGGTGCGGAGGCGGGTACGCGGCAGTCACAGGTGCCCTTCCCGACTCTCGCTTCGCATTGGTCTCGCACTCCTCCAGCCCCTGTGCCGGGGCAACCGGGAGGCCGTGTGACGGTTCCCCGCATGCGGGGCCCACCGTACATTTAGCTCCGATTGTAAAGAAAAAAAACTAGCTGGATCTATCCGAAAGGATCAATAGAAAATATTGAGTATCCATTGTTTTCTCAACCAGAGGATATAATGAGGAAACGATGTAAGGCCTGCGAAATCAGTCCCCCCCTGAAATGTTCCCCAGGGCATGTACCTCCAAAGTCGGATTTTTTCTAAACTTTGCATCCTAATAGCTACTTGTGTGCCAAGTTTCACATTTCTTACTTCTCTAGAATATGGTTAGAATTAGCGTCAGTCAGTCACGATCGTGTATATATATTAGATTGGATTGTCAGGAAGTCAGCGACCGATGAGGAGTAATAAAAGAGAATTAACATATTTACATTTTTCACAAAATATTCATAACCTCCATTTTTCGCTTTCAATACCTCGCCCGAGAGTTTCTCATTTTGAAAACGGCTCTTGATTTTAATAACTTTCCATCAAATGGCTCGGAATAGGCCGACGCATTCGGAATGATTGGAGGATCTAGTCGAAGAAATGTTGCTCCCGATTTCACGATCGCGTGAATCGAACTTTGAAGAATGGATTCGGATCGCCGCGGCTGGGAGTCGTCCTACGGTCGTGTCACTGGGAATGTGGGCAGTAGAAGGAAAATAAATGAGAAATGAGTCATTTAGGGTCTCCCCGGTCTTAGTCGGCTATCCTATCCGTTTTTTCCAAGCTGCTAGACGACGGGAGGGGGAGTTGTCAACTGGCTGACATTCTTTGAATGGTGACTCTCTGTAATTTCTTCGAGAGCTTCCTGATGGACTGGAACCTGAAACAGATAATTTGCACCCGCGCGCGTTTTGAGAAAAAGTCCGCAAAGGCCTGCTGATACCATTGCCATTTTTTCCTGTAGGGGTAATTCATCAGTAAAATGTTCATTTTTGTTTTGCATGATTTTCACCTCATTTTTACTGTTTCTAGAAGAAATGCGAACTTTTTCTAGATACGAGAGGAAATGTACTCGAACACGGGCATTGGACGTCTTGTGCGGACCCCAATCCCGAAAGTGCGCACACACCCCTCGGGGTGTGTGCGCACTTTCGATACTGACATTACCTTGCATATGATGATTACTCCAATCCACTCCTTCCTTTCATCCATAAGTTTTACACCTTCCCCGCGTATAACACTTGGAGTATTATACGAGAGCAGATTGGAGGAGTGGATATAAAGTAGCAGATTGGAGTGTACAGTACATAGTATGCAAGGTAATGTCCGCATGGAAATTGCGCGAAACACCCTTTGCAGGAGGGAAGGGGGTGTCCACAGGACACGCGAAGCCCGAATTGGGTAGTTCGTATGGAATGGAATTGCGTTGGGGACTGTTTCCGCTAAATGGTTAAAGGGAGAGGGAAACGTAATAAAACATTTGTTAGTAAATTGTTTTCATCTTCGAGCTGAGGGCACCTCAGGTCGTGACTCGGCAGAGCTTGCGACATTGAGCTGTGACCACTTCGTGCATCGCGCGAAGCCAAAAAGCCAGGTAGAGTGTCACTCCATGCTGTTTAGTTTCTATTCATTTGGGAGCCAACAGGGGAATTGATCATGCTTGCGAACTTGAATAATAATATAGCAATAACATAAATTGAAGGAATAACTATGCTTTCATAACAAGCGATAGGGCTCTCAGAAGGTTCAGTAGAGTCATTTTTGAGAGTTATGTGAGATCGATGGTTGATGGATCATGTGAGCTTTGAGAGCCTGTCATGGGAAGGAGTGGTGGGCGACGACATGGAGGGCTGGGTCTATGGCTACATGCAGATGAGTCATGGTCCCATGTGTTTGCAGAGATTGTTGTTGGCTGATGTCTTGACTCCATGGAGCACAGAGTGGTGAAGGTCATCAACTGTGGCTCCACAAACAGCGAGAACTTGGGTGGAACCCCTTCTGTCTAGCTTTGAAGGAATGAGGGATTTTGTCATCGAGGTACCGAAGATCAGGATATTGGTGCGGTGAGCTATTTGAAGGGCTCTGCATTTGGGTGGCTTCATATTATTAGAGATGTTGGATTGCTTGTTTCTATCTTGTGGTGGATTGTGAGATAGGCAGATCTCCTGGGTTGGGGTGTTATTATAGGATTCATGATATGATGGAATGGGGGTTTTCTGTGGGGAGGTTGGTGGGCTATAATCAGAGTCACTCAATTCAATTGATGCTGGTGAGGTAGGTAGCTGTGAGTTAGGCCTGGAGGAGTGGGACAGTTGTCCACTTTGCACTGAGCATTTACCACTTGCATGGTTCCTTTTATATTCCTGGATTTGCTGCTGTAAATGAGCGATGATGTCTGAATCTAGGTTACATTGGGTTGTTTTGTTAGTCTGGCTACCATTTGAGTGTGAGGCAGATGGTGAATCATCATCGCTGATTTGAGGGCTTCTGAGTTGGGGAATTGTAATAGCGTGAGGAATCTCCAGGTTCAGTTTTTCACTGGGTGACAGGAAGGGTCTGGATGAAGGTCATGCATTTGCATGCCATGTTCGATGGACGCATCGATTAGGCACTCATTCTATCTTATCAAGAAATGCTGTCACGCTGAGTGTCATTTCGTCATGTGAGGGAGGCTGAGGCATAAATTAATTATGACGTATGAGTAGTGTAATTTTCTGAAGGTCACGTGTCGATTGAATGAGACATTTTTCTGGCGTGACGAAATTCCATGTCCTCTAAGAGACATTCAAACAGAAATAATTGCAAGTCAGTTCACTGCATGAAATACCCCGAGTCTTCGCCTCGACACTTGTCACCTCTTCTCCCCTGACTCGATCCATCTCATAGCAGTTTCTTCCCCTTCAGGTTTCGTAGCGAGCAGTATAAAAAGAGGGTTCGCCTGTCGCCCCCCACTAATCGTTCTCTCATCTTTCTCTCTCATTCTCCCCATCCCATTCGCTCTTTTCATCGCTGCAGCAAAGGCATTACGAGAAGAAAGTTCGCTTGCCATTAGGACGGGCGTTACCTGGTTTGCTCGTGTCCATTAGTTGTCCGAATTCGTACGCATAATTATCGTAATTTTGGGTGGAGGTTGCTTTGTGTACCTCGGTGAGGGTTATTGAATGCAAACTTGTTTTCAACGACATGCTTCGGACTTGGGAAATTTGTATACATTGCAACGTTTCCCTTTTCGTGCCCTTGTGGGAAGAGATCTCTTAGATAAAACTCATTGCCGTCATTTTCTCACGAACGCATATGAGCAACCAAACCATAGCAATTCAATTTCCAGGTTGTATAGTCTGGAAACACAAATGGGTCTGAAGAATACAATTTTCCAAGATACTCAAGCTTCCCAATCAAGCATTCCATCATTTGCCAGGGCTCTCAATGCCCATCACAAATATTCCGTGCACGCACGCATCACTAACGTAGTGAAGGGCTTCCTTATTGGGGTACTAAGGAGAGGTGGAACTGGAGCAGTGCGACGAAGAAGGTGGACAGGTTCACCAACGTCTACAAGAAAAACCATCAGGGCTGGGAGACTCTCCACATCCTTTTTTATTTTTGTTTTTATGTGTACATCGATTTTGACTCACAGCAGACAGAAGCGGGAGGTCGACCTCGAACAGGCCGCAGGCAGTCACAGGTTTCCAACTCCAGGAGATATCTCTTTCAAACATTTTCATCTAAAAGACACGTGGGGAACATGTACGCAACAGCAATAATTGTTTTAATTAAACTGCACCCTCGTTAATTCTATTTCTCCTAAAGAGAATGGTTTCAACTCATGCACCAAACCCTAGTTCACCAGGAACCATTTTATGTCCATGTTAAGGGGTTTTCCGGCCTCTCCAAATCGCTTCGGAGTCTGGTCGACTCCACTAGATGAGAGCCAGAAGCATCTATTGACTTTTGAGAGCAAGAGATGACGAGTGAAGGTAATTCAATTTTAGTTGGAGCGCATGAAACATTCATGACTCGATCAGTGGCTCAGCATTAATTCGCGTTTCCGAGAAGCTATACAACATCACGGGTAAGAAATCCCTGATTTATGATGATCAAATATTAACAATCCGTAAATACGTGAGTATTGTACATTGCTTCATACCAATTGCTGAATTTCTTTCTGTCATAGCATTGAATTGCAGGGTGTCTTCATGCATCTCCGCGTAAATTGGCTCCTTTGTAATCTGTATTGACGAAGGGCAGTTCGTTCAATGGAAAAACAATTATTGAGTTCATCACGAATTCTACTTTCATCATTTAATCTGTAGTTGGTGCACGCTCAGTTAGCTTTTGTCCTGATGACGTTGCTATGATAATAGATATGTCACCTTCAGAGCTAGTGATGGAGAGTATAATATAATCAGCATTCAACAAGTTTCCATTCGGTGTTTCATCATTGTTTGATGAATCATATTGAACAAATCAGACTCGGAACAATGTTGAAACTGTATAGTAAACATACCTGCTTCAACAAAGAAGAATCGACAATGGTTTTCCCAACAGCCCGTGTAAGGATCGCTGGCATTTCCCATCTCTGAATCAGATAATGAAAAATGTCAACACTTCATCGACCGACCGGCATTGATTCACGTGTATAACTTACTTTGTGCTTCACGTATCGGCAGACTAGACAGGTTGACATCAGTTTCGTCGTAGTCAGAATGAACCCAGGTATGTACCCAAGAAGAGGTAATTCCGTCGTCGTGGTTGTCAAGACGGGAGCTATGATGATGAAGGCCATGAAGAGAGCTGTCGCAAAGGTCGTAAGAGCTTTCACGAGCAGAATTTCAGAGAAAAGGCTAGAGGAGAGGTCGAGAAGATGACACAAGCGGGTATAGCAGCATCTCATGGTCTGGATGAATTCGACCCCATAGACTGGATTGATGGCGTTCGGCGAAGCAATCTTTCTCTCATCGACTGGATTGATGATGTTCGTCGGAGCAGACATCCTCCAGCGAGGATGGCGGATCTGCTTTCTTTTCTGCAGAGTGGTGTGGATTCTCCCATCTGGATGCCACATTCCGTCTGAGTTTCCGTCTGAGGATGGGATCCTCCGATCAGAATTGCTTGATTTTACAACTTCTTGCCTCCTTCTTCGAAAATCTCTTGTTTCCCTTTCATCTTCGAGGACGAAGCTTTTTGCACGTCGATTCAGGCACTCGAAGCCCGCTGCGATCACAACCATGATGGATGAGAACAACGTTTCCTCGATAGAGGGCAACATATATGCGAATTAAAAGGCAAACCCCATCGGGATCGATGTCACCATGCACCAAGATATAACAAAGCCCAAGATGATCAATACGAGCCAAAAAATTCCTTGAACAACGGCGACCAAGAAAACCCGAAAGTGAATCATTCGAAATTCTTCCTCATTGAAGTCCATTTCTCCGCTTTGTAACAGATTACGAAATGCGCGTAACTTAATCATAAGGAGGAAACTCGATATCGCCATGATGAAGATCGTGAATTGACTTCCTACGACACTGATTTAGACCATCAGGGATCCCATTCGATCCCTTATGTCATTTAAGTAAAGAATAGAAATTGTGAAGGACAGGGCCCAAGAGCAGACGCAGAAGATGAGGATGCAGTAGAGGAACCATATGATATTCAGGTGGAACACCAGACCTCGGAGGGAGAGAGGAACGAGGCCGAACACTTTGGCCACTGCCAGGACCGGCCGGGAAGTCTTCAGGAACAGGTTTTCCATGGCTGGCCGCTCCACTCTGAATGATCAGGATCGTTGGTCGGCCTCATCTCTTGAACTCCATTATCGAAATTTTCGTTGACATTCCGTCGACCCAGCCCAGGCAAACAGTCTTTGTACGTATAATCTGACACATTTCCTATCCGAGAAGTTCATAGAGACCCTCGTGATGAGAAAAAATAATCTACATTCAGCGAGCTACGATTGCACTACCAGTAATTAACATTTTTTTAGTACTGTTAAAATGTTTTTATTTCATTAAGTACGTTTTTGCGCAGCAGCTACGTATACTTTCTTAGCCGTTGTTTTGATATTATAATAGTTCTGAAATTGCTACGGGAACACAATAATGGTAGAAAGAGGGATTTCGAGGCAACCGTCAATTTCAGGAATATCTTGAGAAAATCCCAATGCAATTGGATCTCAAGGGCATTTCGTTTCATGTTTTTGCTGAAAATGTGATGCTTGGGTTTAATACTTCTGCAGATTTAGCCTCAAGGAAAGTCCCTACTAGAAACGCGTAAAGATACTGGCTGTAGTGGATCTGCAGAATTTCGACAGGTAATGACCATCGATGCAGCAATTTCCCATCTCGGTCAATCTCCTCATACCTTTCGCTCTTTTCATCACTACAGGAAAAGCACTACTAGGGGGGGAGGGAGTCTACCACTGGGACGGGCATTGCCAGGTTTGTTGGTCTATTTTTGTGACGATTTCGCGCCAGTCAACTCTCAATGTTTTTAGCGGCAGTCAATTTTGTTTAACTCAGTGAGGAATGTTCAATGCCAGCTTGCTCGATGACTTGCTCCGGGCATTGCAAGACAAAGCTTTACCCGTGCAGTTCAACGTTTATTCGTTCGCGTCCTAGTGGGAAGAGATCTCTTTAAGAAAGTTTTGTGCTGTCATTTTTCGCGAAAGAGCTAACATAAACGAGATTCGGAGTCCAGGTATTATGAACTGAAAATAAATTCAGGTTCTGCAAGAAAATTTGAAGAGATTCCATCCGAGCTCCCGAATTCAATATTCCAACAGCAGGGTTTACTAAAGCCACGAGCATCAATGAGACTCCGTGATTGTATAAACGAGCAACATGACGAAGTGCATTTGGATCGCGGGTCCAAGCAGAGGTTGAACGAGAACCTCTCAACCGAAGGTTGAGAGGTTCACCGCCGACAAGATATGAGATTTCTGATATGGCAAGAGCCATGTCAGAAATGAGAGACGCTCCATTTCCTCTGGTTTTTATCATCGATTTTGACGCATAACAGACAGAAGCGGGAGATCGACCTCCTATCTCGAACAGGCTGCAGGCACGGTCACTGGTCCCCTACGTTACATTTTGCTCAACGTTTCAGGAAATCAGACAGGTTGACACGAGTTTTCTTCGCAGTCATGATGAACCCAGATTCCTGGCCCAGATATGGTAACACCGACGTCAAGGATATCATAATGTTTGCTAAGATGAAAGACACACAGAGAGCTGTCCTTTATGTCGTAAAAGCCTTCATGGCTTTCTCAAAGAAAGAGCCAGTAAAGAGGCCCAGAAAATGACAGAAGTATGTATCCTGAGGTCTGGAATAATTCACCCCAATCTACGAGATTAATGGCATCCGCTGGAGAAATTTTCCTCCTCTTCTACAGGCGAGCTACGGGTTCGATGAAGGAGATTGCAGGATTTCCGCACGAGAAGCTCTTAGAAGCATTACGGTTGTACTCGCAGGAAAGAAGGCTAACGAGGGAGGTCTTATTCAGGCATTTAAGGTTATTAAGGGAATTGATAACGATAGTACGAGTGGGTACCAACTTGGGATGCGTATTCTTCAGGTGAGGCGAAGGCAGCGACGGAACCTCTTTACTTTTACAGTATTGAACGCGTGGAATGCGTTAACCCATTCAGACCTGGCGTCCATTCCAATGGACATTGCATTTACATTGTGTCTATGGCAATTTCTTTGGATTCTCGTGACTTTGCGCTCTATATTACGCTACAATGGGCGCAGTTATGCATGCCTCAGTTCCATCGGAGGCATTCTTTCACCCATTAGTTTTGTAATCTTCTGTTATTTAATTAAATGTATAATATATAGTATATGGTATGTTATGATGGATTTTTACAAAATATGAAAACTACATATAAAGCATGAACTTTTCAATTACAATCACGAAAGAGCTCAAAAATGCAAAAAAGGATATTATTCTGATAGTGGTCATAATTCGGATCTGAATGGGTTAAGTTACGACGGAGTGACTGCCGCTACCGCATCTAGTTTTGAAAAGAGACTTGATGCCTTCATGGACAAAACAATAACGGGAGTATCGTGGATTTAATTGTCTAGGCAGTAACTGTGTTGTGCTTAAAAATCAAAAACGAAATGAATAAAATTTGATCTTTAAGAGAACAAGGCCAATCTTCGGAGTTTCTGAACCTCGCCCAGGATTGTCATGAAGGGCTGTTACGCCTTTTGACGGCCCTACAAACCTTGTACCTTGAGCCTCATATCGGCTGGATTGATGGCGTTCGTAACAGCAGTCATCCTCCATCGAGGGTGGTGGATCAGCTTTCTGACCTTAGATGCGATGGGGAAACCACATTGTGGCTTCTTCCAGAGGAAGTCTTGGAATTTGATGGAATACCTTGCCTGCTCGGCTCATCTGAGTCCAGAGGTTCCGTCCGCGCCTCTGCCCAGGTAAAGAATAAGACACGCATGCAGCATCTTCGCATTCTCCCGTCATCCTTTACAGAAGCCTTCGAGGGAGGCAGTCTTACGTTATCCACAATCCTTTTTTCTCTCCTCTTTCAATTCGTCATTCCGCGACGCCATCCGTTTCTTATAAGCCATTCTTCTCTCAATATTCCTGCTAAGTGTTTGGAGCTTTCAATTCGGAAGCGGAAAGGGGAAGAAAGAAGAGAAACTCGGCTCGTTCAATCAGTAGAGCGTGTGACTTTTATTCTCCGTGTCGTGGGTTCGAACCCCCACACTAGGCGAACGATTTTTCCCCCCATTTTCGGTACAATCTCGATTGGAGACTTAATATTCCATCTAGTACCTTGCCTGCTCGGTCAGTGGGAATCCCGGAGTTTAGTCGGTGCCTGTGACATGGTATAGGATGAGCCTCCTCCTAACACCCGATTGGATGTACTGTGCCGCAAACAGGATGACCGTCTGACGTCCATCTGGAAGATGGCTGCCGCAGCAAAAATATCTTGGATTTGTGTGGATGACCATATGGATGACCAAAATCTCAGGCTGATCATTAAAATCATGCAAGGAGGGGAATCTGATGAAGATGAATTGCAAATTATCTAGATGGTTCTCCCGCAGACAGAAAACCCAACCAGAGAGTATTCGAATGGTCGGTTCCACTGAAAATTCTATAAAACAGATGACATTCGATGTGCCACGATAGAACGAAACGTCTGCAAATAATGCGTATGAGACGGCCGTTACTGACGACGAATGTTCAGCGGAAGAATGTGCAATTTGAAAAGACTCGCGGAAAATTGGCGAGCTCATGTCCCCAGGACATCTGCCTCATTTGGAGAACAAGAGAAAAAAAAGTGGACATCGAGACAAGGAAATTCAGAAAATACGAGGAAGAATCAATCCTCATATTCTCTTTCTTCAGTTTCCTTCCTTTTCCTTATCTCGCGAAGAGATAAGCATTTTGCCCTGAAAACCTATTATCTTGTAGTTGTACGTTAAGGCACGGCACTTTCCTGAATGCTATTTTGCTGAGATAATGTTCAATTTCGACTTTTCCCAGCTGCCTTCGATGCGGAATATGTCTGGAACTATTCGGAGGAAGGGAGAGAATAATAGGAATCATGCAGATCTTCCTGTCTCGCTTTCTCGACTTTGAAAACGTTGGAGCAGCGCCGTCTATCGGGATACAGCGCCATCTTCCAGAAATGAAATAAAGTTTTTAGACTCGTGTACCACTCTGTCAAGTATCAGCTGGACCCAACTGTCCCTTGAGAAGTTAACATTGAAAAGTTAATTGAATTCTGAGACGGTCGAGCACAGGTAATCACCTCACGTGAAGTGGGATGAGCCACCTCTAAGCACCTTTTATTCACCTCTAAATGGGCATTGCACGATTTCCGCAAGGATGCTGAAAAAACGCCTCCAAGCATTTCAACACCTTGTAACTGTCAAATATCGATTGCGTATCCGATGTAATTTTTTCCCTACATTTATGTAACTTCGTTTCTTCTATAGAAAAAGGGAGAGCGTATTTTTAGCCACCCTGTATGCAGTATCCGGCGCTGAAAGAGAATTTGATTCCCGAAGCATTGTTTCCCTTATCACCTTACTCGGCAAGTTTCGCATCATTCGAAGAAAAAAGGAAGAACGATTGTCTGATGAACTTCATGAACAAAGCGTAAGAGAAAGTCCGAAGAATAGTTTGCGTCGTGTCAATGAGCCTTGAATATTAAGCAGTGTTTGATATTGCTGAAACGTATTCTTCATTCA